GCTTATTATTTGTACTACAAATGCTGATAGTTTCATAACGATTTATGAAAGCTCCAATTTATTATGATTTTTTGAAAATCAGTTAATATAATTGTGTAAATCGTTGTATAATAATTAATATCTCAAAAACTAATTTGTTTTTTCAAAAATCGTTTCTTTCATTGCAAAGCTTATTATTTGTACTACAAATGCTGATAGTTTCATAACGATTTATGAAAGCTCCAATTTATTATGATTTTTTGAAAATCAGTTAATATAATTGTGTAAATCGTTGTATAATAATTAATATCTCAAAAACTAATTTGTTTTTTCAAAAATCGTTTCTTTCATTGCAAAGCTTATTATTTGTACTACAAATGCTGATAGTTTCATAACGATTTATGAAAGCTCCAATTTATTATGATTTTTTGAAAATCAGTTAATATAATTGTGTAAATCGTTGTATAATAATTAATATCTCAAAAACTAATTTGTTTTTTCAAAAATCGTTTCTTTCATTGCAAAGCTTATTATTTGTACTACAAATGCTGATAGTTTCATAACGATTTATGAAAGCTCCAATTTATTATGATTTTTTGAAAATCAGTTAATATAATTGTGTAAATCGTTGTATAATAATTAATATCTCAAAAACTAATTTGTTTTTTCAAAAATCGTTTCTTTCATTGCAAAGCTTATTATTTGTACTACAAATGCTGATAGTTTCATAACGATTTATGAAAGCTCCAATTTATTATGATTTTTTGAAAATCAGTTAATATAATTGTGTAAATCGTTGTATAATAATTAATATCTCAAAAACTAATTTGTTTTTTCAAAAATCGTTTCTTTCATTGCAAAGCTTATTATTTGTACTACAAATGCTGATAGTTTCATAACGATTTATGAAAGCTCCAATTTATTATGATTTTTTGAAAATCAGTTAATATAATTGTGTAAATCGTTGTATAATAATTAATATCTCAAAAACTAATTTGTTTTTTCAAAAATCGTTTCTTTCATTGCAAAGCTTATTATTTGTACTACAAATGCTGATAGTTTCATAACGATTTATGAAAACTCCAATTTATTATGATTTTGTGAAGATGAGTGAATATAATTGAGTAAACCAGTATCTAAAACTTCATATAAGCAGTTGCTTTATCCGTATCACTACAACACTTTTCAAGCTTTAACAGAAAATTATAGAAAAAAACAACAGATTTTTTGTAGGTGAGCCATACAGGAAGTGGTACTAAACGTCCCATAAACATTGTGTTTACGGAAGAAGTAACATTTACTCAAAACAGAGTTCTTAATATCCATAATAGGCACATTATGAGTGATGACAATCTCCATGCAATACTAGAAACTCAAATGCCTGCAAACCTTTATGCACGATGGAGCAACAGCACATTATGCACGTGGTACTCGTAGTACTTATTGAAAGTAGTAAAACAAATGTTAATCATACAATTACTACAACTAAACCGTTACAATTAATGATGTTAACAATAGGTCAACTTATGAAACTAAAACTTTGGATATCTCAACAATGGACCATTTTCGGACCTACGTTTATTAAGCTTTTTTTGTCAGTTTTTGATCAAAGAATATACTGGTGAAGTATTGTACAATCATTGCGGGACAGCCTGTATAATAATTAATATCTCAAAAACTAATATGTTTTTTCAAAAATCGTTTCTTTCATTGCAAAGCTTATTATTTGTATTACAAATGTTGATAGTTTCATAACGATTTATGAAAGCTCCAATTTATTATGATTTTTTGAAGATCAGTTAATATAATTGTGTAAATCGTTGTATAATAATTAATATCTCAAAAATTAAATTTTTTTTTGAAAAATTATATCATTTATTGAAAAGCTTATAATTTGTATTGCTAATGGTAATAATTTCATAATGATTTATGGAAGCTCTGATTTATTATGATTTTTTGAAAATAAGTGAATATAAAAATGTAAACTGAAAATTGAGAAAATGTTTAAAACTTAATATCTTAAAAACTAATTTGTTTTTTGAAAACCCGTTTTATGCATTAGAAAGCTTATAATTTGTATTACAAACGCTGATAATTTCATAACGATTTAAGAAAGCTCCGATTTATTATGATTTTTTGAAAATCAGTTAATATAATTGAGCAAATCAATATCTAAAACTTAATATTTCAAAAACTAATTTGTTTTTTCAAAAATCGTTTCTTTCATTGCAAAGCTTATTATTTGTACTACAAATGCTGATGGTTTCATAACGATTTATGAAAGCTCCAATTTATTATGATTTTTTGAAGATCAGTTAATGTAATTGTGTAAATCGATGTATAATAATTAATATCTTAAAAACTAAATTTTTTTTTGAAAAATCGTTTGTTTTATTGGAAAGCTTATAATTTGTATTACTAATGGTAATAATTTCATAATGATTTATGGAAGCTCCGATTTATTATGATTTTTTGAAAATGAGTGAATATAAAAATGTAAACTGAAAGTTGAGGAAATGTTTAAAACTTAATATCTCAAAAACTAAATTGTTTTTTGAAAATCCGTTTGATGCATTAGAAAGCTTATAATTTGTATTATAAACGATGATAATTTCATAACGATTTATGAAAGCTCCGATTTATTATGATTTTTTGAAAATCAGTTAATATAATTGAGCAAACCAATATCTAAAACTTAATATCTCAAAAACTAATTTGTTTTTTCAAAAATCGTTTCTTTCATTGCAAAGCTTATAATTTGTATTATAAACGCTGATAATTTCATAACGATTTATGAAAGCTCCGATTTATTATGATTTTTTGAACATCAGTTAATATAATTGAGCAAACCAATATCTAAAAGTTAATATCTCAAAAACTATTTTTTTTTTTAAAAATCGTTTCTTTCATTGCAAAGCTTATTATTTTTACTACAAATGCTGATGATTTCATAACGATTTATGAAAGCTCTAATTTATTATGATTTTTTGAAGATCAGTTAATATAATTGTGTAAACCGATGTATAATAATTAATATCTCAAAAACTAATTTTTTTTTTTAAAACTGTTTCTTTTATTGGAAAGCTTATAATTTCTATTACTGATGGTGATAATTTCATAATGATTTAAGGAAGCTCCGATTTATTATGATTTTTTGAAAATGAGTGAATATAAAAATGTAAACAGCAAATTGAGAAAATTTTTAAGACTTAATATCTCAAAATCTAAATTGTTTTTTGAAAATCCGTTTGATGCATTAGAAAGCTTATAATTTGTATTACAAACGCTGATAATTTCATAACGATTTATGAAAGCTCCGATTTATTATGATATTTTGAAAATCAGTTAATATAATTGAGCAAACCGATGTATAATAATTAATATCTCAAAAACTAATTTTTTTTTTTTTAAACTGTTTCTTTTATTGGAAAGCTTATAATTTGTGTTACAAATGCTGATAATTTCATAACGATTTATGAAACCTACAATTTATTATGATTTTTTAGTGTAAACTCAAAATTTTAACAAAAATAAATTGTACAATATCGGAAATATTATTCATAATTACGCAGTCACGAGCTCAAACAGTGACGTACAACTTCACTGCTTGCTTTTTCGACTCGTTTACTTTTACAAAACCGTTATCTCCGATTTCGGTATTCACCTGCAGAAGAGTGAACAACCTCTTAAAGAAGACGACCACAACCACGCGTAGGTCGAATCAAAATCGGTCACCACACGATTTTTTCATTCGTTATTTCTTTTTTTTTTTGTATTTTTGGGTCACGTAAAATTAGTCATGAGTAAATCTCAAAAAAACGATTTTCTCTTTTTAAACGTAAAATTCAATAAAGGTTGTGTTACATCAATTTATTTATTACATTTTCTAATTCTAACTGTGGTTATTATTCAATAACACCACAGCGTCGGTTATTTAATCGAGATTCACGGAGGTTTTATGAAATGGGTAAGGAGAATGCACACTTTCAGCTATCGAGAGATACATCGGAAAGTAAACACGTGCCCTTTCACAAAAGAGAAGCGCCCGATTACTTCCTGCATTTTGAGACGACGATTTAAATGTCTCCTGATTGAAATCAACTTTATGTATTCTTTGTGGTAATAAAGGAACGATTTTTTTAAAATTACCACATAATAGATGGACTTTGTAATAAATCATGTGTAAGGAATTTGCGTTCCCGAAAATTCGCACAAAGTTCGAGAACAGACAACTTCCTGGCGGCTTTCACCGAAGAACGTAACGGACGAAAAACGACTCAGTTAAGTAATATCAAGTGGGAACTTTGCGCCAACAATAGATTAACTCGTCTAATATCCCATACATAGCCCAGATTTAATTACTAACCTCTCTCTCTGAGGTATTGTGAGCGCAATAACGATTACCTCTACCAACATTATCGGGTTTGCTCTTAATGGTTCCACACCATTTATGTAATTCAATCCATATACGACGTAAAACGCGAACAAGAGGAAGAATCTATACCAATTCTAAGAAAAGTTATTATTACACAACGCTAATGTCATTCGTTTCTACATCTCAATTTGTCTGAAAATGAATTGTATTGCTTTCGAACGGATTGCACAACGAAAAAAATAAATTCGTTTCGTAGAAATTTATTGGCACCCCGCCACGCGGAACATGTCGATGTCATTTTGAGATATTACCCTCTTCTTCAGCGATTGTCCTTTCATATTTAACATACTTCTAAGTAACCTATTCCAATTAAATTAAATCCTCTTATCGACCCCAATTCCGACGTTCAAGGTTCCAGAAATAGCCCTTTAATGGACCTCGACGGTCACTAATTGCACATTCAGGAGGTCTATATTTAAATTCGCGCTTCGTGTGAGGGTTGGCTTCGAAGGGAGATGTAAATAGAGAGTGTGTGTGTACTGAACAGAGAGAGGGTGGCGACCTTCCTGTGCATCCTGGCCGAGTACATCGGGAGGAACGGTCAAGGACGTACGGCAGGACTTGAGGCCCCCCCGGACACCACATCGCAGGCGGAGGCAGTGGTGCCATTGACATTGTCTGCGCAAGAACCGGTGCCTTTGGCCTTCCTAAAGGTGAATCTACAGGTGATTTTTCACTATTGGGCGGATTCGTCTTCGTCTTGGAGAAGTTAAAAATTGGACGAGAAAATTTCAGCTAATAGGAGGTAATAAGGATTTCTTGATGTAATTTGTTGGTTGTTATTCCTGATTGGGATGAGAAAAACTAAAAAATAATAATGGGAAATTGGTGCAAAAACGAGTTAAAGATACTTAAATATTAGTCATCGTATTGATTTCGTCCATTATCTCAACTATTTCATTATGAAGATATGGATAACCATTAATAAACTTAAATTTTAAACCATCAGCTTTAATTTGAGATATAAATCACCTCTTCATCTCAACAAATAGAGCCAACATGATTTTTTAAAGTTTTCTTCAATTCATAAAATTAGTCATCGTATTGATTTCCTCCATTATCTCAACTATTTCATTATGAAGATATGGATAACCATTAATAAACTTAAAATTTAAATCATCAGCTTTAATTTGAGATATAAATCACTTCTTCATCTCAACAAATAGAGCCAAAATGATTTTTTAAAGTTTTCTTCAATTCATAAAATTAGTCATGTCAAATAATGCGAATTGATTTCGTCCATTATCTCAATTATTTCATTATGAAGATATGAATAAACATTAATAAACTTAAAATTTAAACCATCAGCTTTAATTTGAGATATAAATCACCTCTTCATCTCAACGAATAGAGCCAAAATGGTTTTTTAAAGTTTTCTTCAATTCATAAAATTAGTCATGTCAAATGATGCGAATTGATTTCGTCCATTATCTCAATTATTTCATTATAAAGATATGAATAAACATTATTAAACTTAAATTTTAAACAAACAGCTTTAATTTGAGATATAAATCACCTCTTCATCTCAACAAATAGAGCCAAAATGATTTTTTAAAGTTTTCTTCAATTCATAAAATTAGTCATGTCAAATAATGCGAATTGATTTCGTCCATTATCTCAACTATTTCATTATAGAGATATAGATAACTATTAATAAATTGAAAATTTAAACCATAAGCTTTAATTTGAGATATAAATCACCTCTTCATCTCAACAAATACAGCCAAAATGATTTTTTTAAATTTTTGTGATTTTACTCAGAGTTTTCTTTTACGAAAATTTTCTTAAATTATAGAGTTATAGCTTTAATTTGATATAAAGTCTTAACCGATTACAAGATTATTTGTTCATCTAAACGCTTTGTAGGTTGGTTTCTTCAGATATAATCGATTGTGCGCAATCCCCAAAGTAATTTGTCTCGCGGATCGTTACAAAATCGTAAGAATTAACTTTTCGCCGGATTATATTCGCGTATTGTACCCCAAACGGGGTCACCAAGACGTAGTTACCAAGAAAAACGTCTCCTATAACGGATTCTCTTAGATTATGGAAAATTGAGCTGGTGTAACGGCTCCTGGATGAGTAATTCTAAGACAGCGTTAATTTTGAATATCGAATAATTTTTTACCCAGATTATTATTTGTTAACAATGAGGCTTCACAATAACGGTTTGAAATAAAAGAATTAAGTTCAAACATAACCGCGATGCGTTAACAGTTATGTTGCGAAAATTCTCACCTAACTAAAAAGAAAGAAGAATGTAAGAAGAAAGTCTTTGTGTAATAATAGTTTAAGATTAATAAAATTCGCTTAATCATACTTAGTAACTTTCGCCCCTTAAAAACCCGACCGTCACGAGAAGAACTCGACCTCTAACCTTATTCAAATTACCGATTGCATCCGGATATTTGTCTCGCTTCGGTGGGAAAGGAGAAAGATTAAAATTCCTTTTTTGTTAATTACGAGTTACCCAACAAATGTAATCTCGTTGTGAAGACGTGGTGACGTTGTCGTCGCTGGCACAACAACCTCTAAACGATCGAGGTGAATGTGTCAACGTGTCAGAAGCGTTTACAATGCCGCATTGTCTTCGTTTACCGCAACCTGAAAGAATTTTTTGTTCCAGAAATGAAACCACTTCTTCCATTTTTGTTATTGCTGGCAAAAACTTTGAGTTTTCCCGAATCTGGTGGTGTTATGGACACAGAAAATGGTACTCAAATAATCGACGCGATTGGTAAACCTCTTCCAAAACCTCAAGGAGCTAGCCCAGTTGCGAGCCCAATTAATCTATTAAATCCTGATAGATACGAATTTTTTACTTTCAACGATAACGGCGATTTGGTTAAGAGGTTAATGACCCTGGAGGAGATTCAAGGGATCATCGCGAATGGCGATGGGGAAGACTTTAATTATAACGTAGCTGAGTATTTGCCGGAGAAGAAGGTTAACGATATCGTTTCGAACGTTCAAAATGTGCTTAAAGAGCAGATGGTCAATCATAAGCAAGTTGCCAAACCAATTTTGGATACTCCGGATGTTTCGAATTCTTGGAGCATGATTTTGCCCGCTTTCTTTGGCAACACTGGGGAGGAAATCACCCCAGAGAAGATTAGTGATGATATTACCACGAAAATTAAGGAGTTTGAGAAGTTAACTACTCCTCTTTATGCGTCGAATAAACCAAATTCATCTTTGTCTTTAGTTACATCAAGTTCTCCTTCAACATCTACAAGAATTCCTCCAACAACAACTTCTTCACCAAATAAGATTTCTTCAACTTCGTCATCAACTCAAATTTCTTCTTCCCCATCAACTAAGATATCTTCAACTTCGTCATCAACTCAAATTTCTTCTTCCCCATCAACTAAGATTTCTGCAACTTCGTCATCAACTCAAATTTCTTCTTCCCCATCAACTAAGATATCTTCAACTTCGTCATCAACTAAAATTTCTTCAACAACTTCTTCATCAACTAAAATTTCTTCTTCCCCATCAACTAAGGTTTCTTCTTCTCCATCAATTAAGATTTCTGCATCAACAACTTCTCCATCGACAACAAATTCGCCATCTTCGACGAGTTCAACTCCAATAAATGAGTTAAAATTGGTTACAGAGACTCAATCTTCGCCAAATTTGATTACAGTTGCCATCATTTCAGATACAAAGTATAACATAACGAATTTAGGAGGAACTAATTCGCCAATGGTGACCATTTTGCCTTTTAATTCAACAACGCCGAAGATTTCAACCAGCACAAAATTGGATGAAGAAGAAAGTAAGATAACTCAAAGTTTATCCGACATCGTAACAGATCTTGTCGTTGAAAAAACGAAGATATCTGAGGTTCCAACTAAAATCAACGATGATTTAGATTTCTTAACTTCATTAAAATCGACTCCATCAACTTCACCGGAAGCAATTAAATCCTCAATTAGAAACGAAAACGATTTTTCGACTTGGTCTTCAATTAAAATTGAGTCAACAACACCATCGATTAACCCATTAACGACGCCGTTACAAGAAACGTTAACAACTGAGGCTTTAAAAGTGTTGTTAAAGGAGGAATTGCCGGAAATGACGATTAATAGTTTGGCTTCTTTGAAGAGTACAACCCCAATTTGGATCATAATTAAGAGGAAGCCTGAAAAGGGGGAAGAAAACAACGTCAAAATTGCGCAAAAAGAAGAAATAAAAACAGTTTTGAGCCAAAATGAAGAAATCACCGAAAATCCCGAGCTAAAAAATATGCCTTTGTTGAATGAATTTGCTCCATTTACTCATTCGCCGTTGACCACGAAGAAAATTAATGAGATTAATCTTAAATTGTCGACGAAATTGCCTGAGAGTGTTTCTGAGAAGATATCTGAGATAGTGACTGAGGAGGTGAATGGAGATGTTGAGAGTACCACTTTGTATACAACCCAACAATCGCTGATGGAAAGTGTTCATCAACTTTTATCTCAAACCGTTAACGACGTTGATGAGCCCATTCTAAACGTTGATGCCAACAAGAAAATTGAAGAAATGTTGATGGGGATGAATGAAAAACCGATGCAAGATCTTCAAGATGAAGTTGCTACGATTGGATCTGCTATTGGAACGAAATTAAGTGAAAATGGAAATGTAAAAGATGAAGATACAAAAATTGAGAATACAACTTCAATTGAATTAGAACCAACAACAACTTTAAGTGTTGAAGAGGTTGATTTTTCGGAAGCTTTGAGTTCTGTTTTGTCACAAATTTATTCGTTGGATGATGGGACAACGCCCCTTGCTGATTTGACGACGGAAAGAGTTGATGAAACGACGCGGTTAAGTGAGGCAAATGAGTTAAGCACGATGACCGTTGATTTGGAAACGACCACCTCGATTGATGTTGAAGAGGAAACTCAAACAAATCTGGTACCATCAACGATTCGACCAAATTTTGACGCCGAAATTGAGCTGGATCAAGAAGAAAGCAAGAATACGACGAATTTTATTTTTTATGGGGCGAATGAGTCTTCGACGATTCCTTATGGGGAGAAGTTGATGCCTAAAGAGACTACTTTGAAAATTAAATCATCAACGATTTTGCCAATTATGTTGCCAACGATTTCGCCATCAACTTCACCACCAATTTCATCATTAATCTCACCATCAACTTCACCACCAATTTCATCATCAACCTCACCATCAACTTCATCATCAACCTCACCATCAACTTCACCACCAATTTCATCATCATCACCACAAATTTCATCATCAACCTCACCACCAAATTTATCATCAACAATCCCATCACCATCATCATTATCAAAACCACAACCCAATAAAACAGCTACCTTCCCCGAAAAACTGAATTCATGGACTTTAGTATCAACAATCATCCCATCACCGCCACCAACAAAACAACCATCAACAACCCCCCCTCCAATAAAACTCCCAAACCAACCCTTCCACGGATTTGGATTGGAAGAAACAACTTCGCGCTTAGACACTGATGTCTATCAATTTGTAGAACTCTGCAACGAATTATCTTTTGGATTTTGGTCGGCTGTGACGAACGGGATAAGTTCCGCGCGAAGTATTTTTGTGTCCCCGTTCGCGGCGACTTCGCTTTTGGCAATGGTGTTTTTGGGGGCGAGAGGGGCGACGTCGGGGGAGATGAACGATATTTTGAAGTTGGATGATATGGTGACGTTTAATCCGCATTTGATTTTTAAAAATGTTTCGGAGTCGATTGAGGCGGGGAAAGGGAGTGGGGTGGCGGTTTCTGTTATTGCGAGGGAGTTGTATAGCGATCGGGGGAAAGGGAAGTTGTTGAGTTTTTATAAGGAGAGGGCGAAACAGTTTTATGATGGATTTGTTGAGGAGGTTAGTTTTAAGGAGATTGGGGATGTTGTTAGGAGGAGAACTAATTTGATTGTGAAGAAGAATTCTGGGGGGAAGATTCAGGAATATTTGAAGGATAGTAGTATTATTTTGAGACCTCCTTTGGCTGGGGTTAGTGCAAGCGTTTTTGAGGTTAGTATTGAATTGGTTTTTTCTCCATTAAGTTGTTTTCAAAATGATTCAGTTTGAATTAATCTAATCTTTAATGTTCCTTATCCCTTTTTTGGCTTTCTTTTAATCTCTTTATTGCATTCCAAAATGTATCCTATAACTTCTTTTGGCACACTACTAGTTTTTCTGTCATTCTAACTCTTTCATCTTAAGTCCTCTGTGTTTTATGGAGATCTGTATATTTGATGATCTGAATGTTAACCCAATGTTCCATATCCATCTTCTTTATTCCATCCGGCCATCAAACTCTTAAATAATGAAAATTTTACGAAATTTTTTAGAACAAAAGTTGTACAAAATTTTATTTTTAACAATATTGCTCTCTTGCACTTTTGGTCCCAGACGCATGGATATTGAGAAAAATACGAAAATATGAAAATTTCACGAACTCGTTTTTTCAAGTTCTTGATGGTAACACTGGGGAATGTGAACATGTTACAAAGAAACTTTTAGAACAAAAGTTGTACGAAGTTTTATGATTAACAATATTGCTCTCTTGCACTTTTGCTCCCAGACGTATGGATATTGAGCAAAATACAAAAATATGAAAATATCACGAATTCGCTTTTTCAAGTTCTTGATGGTAGGTAGCACTGGTTAATCTGAGCATATTACAAAAAAACTTTTAGAACAAAACTTGTACAAAATTTTATGGTTAACAATATTGCTCTCTTGCACTTTTGCTTCCAGACGCATGAATATCGAGAAAAATATGAAAATTTGATGAATTTATTGTTATTTCAAGTAGTTGGTGGTAGCACTGGGGAATCTGAGCATGTTACAAAAAAACTTTTAGAACAAAAGTTGTACAAAATTTTATGGTTAACAATATTGCTCTCTTGCACGTTGGCTTTTAAACGCATGGATATCGAGAAAAATATGAAAATTTGATGAATTCGTTGTTGTTTCGAGTAGTTGATGGTAACACTGGAGAATCTGAGCATGTTACAAAGAAACTTTTAGAACAAAAATTGTACAAAATTTTATGATTAACAATATTGCTCTCTTGCTCTTTTGCTCCCAGACGCATGGATATTGAGAAAAATACGAAAATATGAAAATTTGAGGAATTCGTTTTTTCAGGTTCTTGATGGTAACACTGGGGAATCTGAGCATGTTACAAAGAAACTTTTAGAACAAAAGTTGTACGAAATTTTATGATTAACAATATTGCTCTCTTGCACTTTTGCTCCCAGACGCATGGGTATTGAGAAAAATACAAAAATATGAAAATTTCACGAACTCATTTTTTCAAGTTCTTGATGGTAACACTGGGGAATCTGAGCATGTTACAAAGAAACTTTTAGAACAAATGTTGTACAAAATTTTATGGTTAACAATATTGCTCTCTTGTATTTTTGCTTCCAGACGCATGGATATTGAGAAAAATACAAAAATATGAAAATTTGAGGAATTCGTTGTTTTTTCAAGTTCTTGATGGTAACACTGGGGAATCTGAGCATGTTACAAAAAAACTTTTAGAACAAAAGTTGTACAAAATTTTATGGTTAACAATATTGCTCTCTTGCACGTTGGCTTTTAAACGCATGGATATCGAGAAAAATATGAAAATTTGATGAATTCGTTGTTGTTTCGAGTAGTTGATGGTAACACTGGAGAATCTGAGCATGTTACAAAGAAACTTTTAGAACAAAAATTGTACAAAATTTTATGATTAACAATATTGCTCTCTTGCTCTTTTGCTCCCAGACGCATGGATATTGAGAAAAATACGAAAATATGAAAATTTGAGGAATTCGTTTTTTCAGGTTCTTGATGGTAACACTGGGGAATCTGAGCATGTTACAAAGAAACTTTTAGAACAAAAGTTGTACGAAATTTTATGATTAACAATATTGCTCTCTTGCACTTTTGCTCCCAGACGCATGGGTATTGAGAAAAATACAAAAATATGAAAATTTCACGAACTCATTTTTTCAAGTTCTTGATGGTAACACTGGGGAATCTGAGCATGTTACAAAGAAACTTTTAGAACAAATGTTGTACAAAATTTTATGGTTAACAATATTGCTCTCTTGTATTTTTGCTTCCAGACGCATGGATATTGAGAAAAATACAAAAATATGAAAATTTGAGGAATTCGTTGTTTTTTCAAGTTCTTGATGGTAACACTGGGGAATCTGAGCATGTTACAAAAAAACTTTTAGAACAAATCTTGTACAAAATTTTATGGTTAACAATATTGCTCTCTTTCACTTTTGCTCTCAAACGCATAGATATCGAGAAAAATATGAAAATTTGATGAATTCGTTGTTGTTTCAAGTAATTGATGGTAACACTGGGAAATCTGAGTATGTTACAAAAAAACTTTTAGAACACAAGTTGTACAAAATTTTATGGTTAACAATATTGCTCTCTTGCACTTTTGATCCCTGACGCATGGATATTGAGAAAAATACGAAAATATGAAAATTTGAGGAATTCGTTGTTTTTCAAGTTATTGATGGTAACACTGGGGAATCTGAGCATGTTACAAAGAAACTTTTAGAACAAAAGTTGTACAAAATTTTATGGTTAATAATATTGCTCTCTTGCACATTTGCTCTCAAACGCATGGATATCGAGAAAAATATGAAAATTTGATGAATTCGTTGTTGTTTCAAGTAGTTGATGGCAACACTGGAGAATCTGAGCATGCTACAAAAAAACTTTTAGAACAAAAGTTGTACAAAATATTAAGGTTAACAATATTTTTGAAGGATAATTATTATTCTCAGGAAGGATTGTGGGCAATAAAATCGCAATTAATTGATTCACCAATATTTCGCATCTATTTTCTACGCTTCCTCAGGGTGAGTTCGTAAATTGCACTAAATTAGCGACAACTTTAAACATTGTCAAAGAAACCACGTGTAAAATTTGAGTTGAGTGGCATAACTTACCACGTGGGTTAACTCTAAGTGAGTTAACAATATTGCTCTCTTGCACGTTTGCTGTCAAACGCATGGATATCGAGAAAAATATGAAAATATGAAAATTTGAGGAATTCGTTGTTTTTTCAAGTTATTGATGGTAACACTGGGGAATGTAAGCATGTTACAAAAAAACTTTTAGAACAAAAGTTGTACAAAATTTTATGGTTAACAATATTGCTCTCTTGCACTTTTGCTCGCAGATGCAGGGATATTGAGAAAAATGCAAAAATATGAAAATTTCACGAACTCGTTTTTTTAAGTTCTTGATGGTAGCACTGGGGAATATGAGCATGTTACAAAGAAATTATTAGAACAAAAGTTGTACGATCTTTTATGGTTAACAATATTGCTCTCTTGCACTTTTGCTCCTAAGCGCACAGATATCGAGAAAAATATGAAAATTTCACGAATTCATTTTTTCAAGTTCTTGATGGTAACACTGGGGATGAGCATGTTACAAAGAAACTTTTAGAACAAAAGTTGTACAAAATTTTATGGTTAACAATATTGCTCTCTTGCACGTTTGCTTTCAAACGCATGGATATCGAGAAAAATATGAAAATTTGATGAATTCGTTGTTGTTTCAAGAAGTTGATGGTAACACTGGAGAATCTGAGCATGTTACAAAGAAACTTTTAGAACAAAAGTTCTACGAAATTTTATGGTTAACAATATTGCTCTCTTGCACTTTTGCTCCCAGACGCATGGATATTGAGAAAAATACAAAAATATGAACATTTCACGAACTCGTTTTTTAAGGTCTTGATGGTAGCACTGGGGAATCTGAGCATGTTACAAAGAAATTTTTAGAACAAAAGTTGTACAAAATTTTATGGTCAACAATATTGCTCTCTTGCACTTTTGGTCCCAGACACATGGATATTGAGAAAAATACGAAAATATGAAAATTTGAGGAATTCGTTGTTTTTTCAAGATATTGATGGTAACACTGGGGAATGTGAACATGTTACAAAGAAACTTTTAGAACAAAAGTTGTACGAAGTTTTATGATTAACAATATTGCTCTCTTGCACTTTTGCTCGCAGACGCATGGATATTGAGAAAAATACAAAAATATGAAAATTTTAGGAATTCGTTGTTTTTTCAAGTTCTTGATGGTAACACTGGGGAATCTCAGCATGTTACAAAAAAACTTTTAGAACAAATGTTATGCAAAATTTTATGGTTAACAATATTGCTCTCTTGCACTTTTGCTCCCAGACGCATGGATATTGAGAAAAATACAAAAATATGAAAATTTGAGGAATTCGTTGTTTTTTCAAGTTCTTGATGGTAACACTGGGGAATGTGAACATGTTACAAAGAAACTTTTAGAACAAAAGTTGTACGAAGTTTTATGATTAACAATATTGCTCTCTTGCACTTTTGCTCGCAGACGCATGGATATTGAGAAAAATACAAAAATATGAAAATTTTAGGAATTCGTTGTTTTTTCAAGTTCTTGATGGTAACACTGGGGAATCTCAGCATGTTACAAAAAAACTTTTAGAACAAATGTTATGCAAAATTTTATGGTTAACAATATTGCTCTCTTGCACTTTTGCTCCCAGACGCATGGATATTGAGAAAAATACGAAAATATGAGAATTTGAGGAATTCGTTGTATTTTCAAGTTCTTGATGGGGAATCTGAGCATGTTACAAAGAATCTTTTAGTACAAAAGTTGTACGAAATTTTATGATTAACAATATTGCTCTCTTGCACTTTTGCTCCCAGATGCATAGATATTGAGAAAAATACGAAAATGTGAAAATTTGAGGAATTCATTGTTTTTTCAAGTTGTTGATAGTAACCCTAGTGAAACTGAGCATGTTACAAAATTACTTATAGAACAGAAGTTTAACAAACTTTGTGCTTATCAATATTGCTCTCTTGCACTTTTACTCTCAGGCGCATGGATATTGAAAAAAAATATGAAAATTTGAGAAATTCGTTGTTTTTTCAAGTTATTGATGGTAACACTGGGGAATCTGAGCATGTTACAAAGAAACTTTTAGAACAAAAGTTGTACGAAATTTTATGATTAACAATATTGCTCTCTTGCACTTTTGCTCCCAGACGCATGGATATTGAGAAAAATACAAAAATATGAAAATTTCACGAACTCATTTTTTCAAGTTCTTGATGGTAACACTGGAGAATCTGAGCATGTTACAAAGAAACTTTTAGAACAAAAGTTGTACAAAATTTTAAGGTTAACAATATTGCTCTGTTGCACGTTTGCTTTTAAACGCATGGATATCAAGAAAAATATGAAAATTTGATGAATTCGTTGTTGTTTCGAGTAGTTGATGGTAACACTGGAGAATCTGAGCATGTTACAAAAAAACTTTTAGAACAAAAGTTGTACAACATTTTATGGTTAACAATATTGCTCTCTTGCATTTTTGCTTCCAGACGCATGGATATTGAGAAAAATACGAAGATATGAAAATTTCACGAATTCATTTTTTCAAGTTCTTGATGGTAACACTGGAGAATCTGTGCATGTTACAAAAAAACTTTTAGAACAAATGTTGTACAAAATTTTATGGTTAACAATATTGCTCTCTTGTATTTTTGCTTCCAGACGCATGGATATCGAGAAAAATACGAAGATATGAAAATTTGATGAATTTATTGTTGTTTCAAGTAGTTGGTGGTATCACTGGGGAGTCTGAGGATGTTACAAAGAAACTTTTAGAACAAAAGTTGTACGAAATTTTATGGTTAACAATATTGCTCTCTTGCACTATTGCTCCCAGGCGCACAGATATCGAGAAAATACAAAAATATGAAAATTTCACGAATTCGTTTTTTCAAGTTTTTGATGGTAACACTGGGGAATGTAAGCATGTTACAAAGAAACTTTTAGAACAAAAGTTGTACCAAATTTTATGATTAACAATATTGCTCTCTTGCACTTTTGCTCCCAGACGCATGTATATTGAGAAAAATACGAAAATATGAAAATTTCACGAATTCGTTTTTCAAGGTCTTGATGGTAACACTGGGAAATCTGAGCATGTTACAAACAAACTTTTAAAATAAAAGTCGTACAAAATTTTATGGTTAACAATATTGCTCTCTTGCACTTTTGGTCTCAGACGCATGGATATTGAGAAAAATACGAAAATATGAAAATTTGAGGAATTCGTTGTTTTTTCAAGTTATTGATGGTAACACTGGGGAATCTAAGCATGTTACAAAGAAACTTTTAGAACAAAAATTGTACGAAATTTTGTGATTAACAATATTGCTCTCTTGCACTTTTGCTCCCAGACGCATAGATATTGAGAAAAATACGAAAATGTGAAAATTTCAGGAATTTATTGTTTTTTTAAGTTGTTGATAGTAACCCTAATGAAACTGAGCATGTTACAAAATTGCTTATAGAATAGAAGTTATAACAAATTTTGTGCTTATCAATATTGCTCTCTTGCACTTTTACTCTCAGGCGCATGGATATTGAGAAAAATATGAAAATTTGAAATTTGTTGATTTTTCAAGTTATTGATGGTAACACTGGGAAATGTGAACATGTTACAAAGAAACTTTTAGAACAAAAGTTGTGCAAAATTTTATCGTTAACAATATTGCTCTCTTGCACTTTTGCTCCCAGACGCATGGATATTGAGAAAAATACGAAAATATGAAAATTTCACGAATTCGTTTTTCAAGTTCTTGATGGTAACACTGGGGAATCTGAGCATGTTACAAAGAAACTTTTAGAACAAAAGTTGTACAAAATTTTATGGTTAACAATATTGTTCTCTTGCACTTTTGCTCTCAGCCGCATGGATATTGAGAAAAATACGAAGATATGAAACTTTCACGAATTGGTTTTTTCAAGTTTTTGATGGTAACACTGGGGAATCTGAGCATGTTACAAAGAAATTTTTAGAACAAAAGTTGTACAAAATTTTATGGTTAACAATATTGCTCTCTTGCACGTTTGCTCTCAAACGCATGGATATCGAGAAAAATACGAAAATATGAAAATTTGAGGAATTCGTTGTTTTTTCAATAGTTACAAAATTGCTTTTAGAATATAAGTTGTTCGTTTTGTTTAGTTTGATATCAAACTAAATCAAATTGAAAACGTCTCCTCCTTCTCCATAACCCCACTTATACTACCTTTTAATTCTTAATATTTTAGACTGATTGTTCTCAAGCATCAACTGAAGGAAGAGATGGCGAACTCCACTTCGTCGTTTTACCATCAATTCGCCAAAGGAAATTGGTTCCAATCCCAGCCGCAGTTTATCGTTCAGGATTTTTGGCCGGTTATGACCCCCAATTAGACGCAACAGCAGCAGCAATCGGAGGTCCCGACCAAACAATTAGTACAATCTTCGTAATCCCCGGTCAACAAGGAATAGCAGCCCCAGGCGATGGTCTTTTACGCTTAGAAAAGCAACTCTCAGAAACAGCCTTTAAAAAAGGCTCATGGGGGCGTGTTTAAAGGAGTTTAATTCCACGACCTGGATTAGAACTACAAATCCCTAGGTTTATGCATAAAAGTATTATTAATTCAACGGTGGCGTTTCAAAGAATGGGGTTAAAAGGTTTGTTTAGTTTTGGTAAAGCTGATTTAAGGGGGTTGAATGGGCAAGCTCACGAGTTACATCTTTCTGATGTTTTGCAATTGAATACGTTTACGACTTGTGGGGAAAATTTGATTGGGGATGATCATCACACTGAGATTTATCCCGCAACTTCGCGTCGGCCTTCGAGGAGATCGAGAAAACTCGGGTATTATTTATCCGAATCTGTGTTTACGATGGAAGAGAAAAGTTTTGGTGATGAACCGCGCGATTATCAAAGATCTTTTGATGACCCCCTACACGATCCTGATTTATTAACTTTACCTTTACCTTTAAGACCACGACAAGCTCGTCTCCCGGACGCCCCAAGACTGAGATTTGATCGACCATTTTTGTTCTTCGTCCGACACAACCCAACGGGGATTATTCTTCATATGGGAAGATTCAATCCGAGACTGTTACCTTAAGACATGATTTATTTAGCGAATAAGAATTAGAAAATAGATTTGTATATAAACATTATTTTTTTTTGTTAAGAATTAGTTTAGAAGTGCCATTTTCGCACTGAAATGAGGAAGTGATTGAATTGAAATTGTTAACAAATTATCAGTATTTTTTTTGTGTAACATTTAAATCTTTTAATTTATTTAATTAATTTCGCTTTATTAATACTCGTTTATAAATTAAATTAATTTTAATATAATAAATCAATTTATTATTGCGTTTTATTCCTTGAAGTTATGCAACACACGTTACATGAAATAAAATAATCGTTAAAGGTATGCAACTTATTAAACACCTCCATTCTGTGTTTATCCAAGGTCCGTTGAGTATTAGTTCACGTATTAATTTTTGGCAATTTCTCCATAGATTCTCATGCTGCGTACCTTGTTGTCTTCTTAAAAGAGCAAACTTTACATAGAAAGTAAAAAATCCAAAATAAAATTATTATCCAAAAAACAAAAAGCTCATTAAATTGAGTTCATGGAACTGCAATTCTTCCCCTATTTAATCGTCTCTCTATCTCCGCTAGTTTTCGAGATTTACCTAAATACTTAATTAATTAATTAATAAGAAACTTAAAGCTGTATATGTGTATTATAATTACTCGTTTTTATTATAAATTTAAGTAAATAAATAAGAATTAATATTTTACAATTTATCACTAACCTTAGTCCCTTGGAAAAGAGATGGCGCCACATCGCTTTATGTCAAATTAGTTTTTAACCTAAAAATCGCTTAATCTCAACAATCATAATAATAATCCTAATTAAATCGATAAAAAGCGAAGATTGGGATATTTATTGGCGTGATTATAAAGGAGAATTCCCAAAAGATGCTGACCCCGCCGGAGCGAACTCTGTTTACATTGGACAGTTATTTAAGAAGGATTTTTATTCCCCGGATCAATTTACGCAAAAATATCGCCTTGAAATATTACGGAAAATTCGAAGTAACTAAAGATATAAAAATCCTTTGTTCTGGAAACTTAGATAAAGTGAAATGGAAACAGATTCATGTCGATAATCTTCCTAAAAACCTCGTAAATACAACCATCGAAGGAAACCGATTTTAATTGGTATATTAGAAAAACGTTCCATGAGAATCAATGGGGGGTTAATTTTTGAGTTGAATTCGAAATAAAATTGAGTGAATATAATTAAAGGTTAACAAGTTTATTGAAACGATTTGAAATAACCTTGATGTCCTTGGGAGAATAATTTAATCCATTTAATTTGTTATGGTAAGTTAATTATATCTACAAATATTTATTACTAATTTTTTAATTTAAAAATTTTTTAAATCGAAACTTTAAATTCAGTGATTTTTGATTTTAAATTAAATTTAAGTTGGTTGCATTGACAAATGAAGTTCAATGTCATTTATGAAATTAGTTGATATTAATTTATTTTTTATTAATTCTTAAATTTATTTGATTTTATTGAATAGAAAAGGCGTGTATGGAAGACATTTTAATGGAAATTAATCTAAAGATACCATGGATGCTGAAAAATCGGTTAAAACGTTAGTTTTAACGTTCGTTGAGATTTTTTTTAACTTTGATAACCATTAATCGGACGAAAAGGGTTTTTATTTTGGAATAATACGGAAAATAAAAAATATAAGGATTTATCAAGGTAAGAAATAAACACTCATTTTTAATTAAATAATTAATAAATTAGTAAAAATTAAAATCGGAAATTTTGAGGTTATCTTTTTAGTTTTAGTGATTTTTTATTTTTAAATTAAATTTAAGTTGGTTGCATTGACAAATGAAGAATGTCATTTATGAAATCAGCTGGTATTAATTTATTTTCTTATTCTTAAATTTATTTTATTTAGTTGAATAGAAAAGGCGTTTGTTGAAGAGATTTTAATGAAAATTAACCTAAGGATACCATGGATGCTGGAAAATTAATTAAAACCCAGGTTCCTCAAGATTTTTTTTAACTCCAATAACCATTAATCGGAAAAAAAGGATTTTTATTTCGGAATAATAAGGAAAATAAGAAATGCAAGGATTTATCAAGGTAAGAAATAAACACCCATTTTTAATTAAATAATTAGTTAATTGGTAAAAATTAAAATCGAAAATTTTAAGGTTATCTTTTTAGTTTTAGTGATTTTTTATTTTTAATTAAATTTAAGTTGGTTGCATTGACAAATGAAGTTCATTGTCATTTATTAAATCTGCTGGTATTTATTTGATTTTGTTGAATAGAAAAAACACGTATTGAAGAGATTTTAATGGAAATTCACCTATAGAATATCAGGAATGCTGGAAAATCTATTAAAACCGAGGTTTGTCAAGATTTTTGTTAACTCCTATATCTATTAATTGAAAGAAAAGGATTTCTGTTTAGGAATAACACGGAAAATAAGAAATAAAAGGATTTATGAAGGTAAGACTCATTTTCAATTAAAAAATTAATTAAAAGATTTTGAGGTAATTTTTTTTATATTTAGTGATTTTTCATTTTTAATTAAATTTAAGTTGGTTGCATTGACAAATGAAGTTCAATGTCATTTATGAAATTAGTTGATATTAATTTATTTTTTATTAATTCTTAAATTTATTTGATTTTATTGAATAGAAAAGGCGTGTATGGAGGAGATTTTAATGAAAATTAATCTAAAGATACCATGAATGCTGAAAAATCGATTAAAACGTTAGTTTTAACGTTCGTTGAGATTTTTTTTAACTTCAATAACCATTAATCGGACGAAAAGGATTTTTGTTTCGGAATAATGCGGAAAATAAAAAATATAAGGATTTATCAAGGTACGAAATAAACACTTATTTTTAATTAAATAATTAATAAATTAGTAAAAATTAAAATCGGAAATTTTGAGGTTATCTTTTTAGTTTTAGTGATTTTTTATTTTTAAATTAAATTTAAGTTGGTTGCATTGACAAATGAAGCAATGTCATTTATGAAATCAGCTGGTATTAATTTATTTTCTTATTAATTCTTAAATTTATTTTATTTAGTTGAATAGAAAAGGCGTTTGTTGAAGAAATTTTAATGAAAATTAACCTAAGGATACCATGCATGCTGGAAAATCAATTAAAACCAAGGTTCCTCAAGTTTTTTTTTAACTCCGATAACCATTAATGGGGAAAAAAAGGATTTTTTTTCGAAATAATAAGGAAAATAAGAAATGAAAGGATTTATCAAGGTAAGAAATAAACACCCATTTTTAATTAAATAATTAGTAAATCGGCAAAAATTAAAATCGAAAATTTTGAGGTTATCTTTTTAGTTTTAGTGATATTTTATTTTTAAATTAAATTTAAGTTGGTTGCATTGACAAATGAAGAATGTCATTTATGAAATCAGCTGGTATTAACTTATTTTCTTATTAATTCTTAAATTTATTTTATTTAGTTGAATAGAAAAGGCGTTTGTTGAAGAGATTTTAATGAAAATTAACCTAAGGATACCATGGATACTGGAAAATCAATTAAAACCGAGGTTCCTCAAGTTTTTTTTTAATTCCGATAACCATTAATCGGGAAAAAAAGGATTTTTGTTTCGGAATAATGCGGAAAATAAAAAATATAAGGATTTATCAAGGTACGAAATAAACACTTATTTTTAATTAAATAATTAATAAATTAGTAAAAATTAAAATCGGAAATTTTGAGGTTATCTTTTTAGTTTTAGTGATTTTTTATTTTTAAATTAAATTTAAGTTGGTTGCATTGACAAATGAAGAATGTCATTTATGAAATCAGCTGGTATTAATTTATTTTCTTATTAATTCTTAAATTTATTTTATTTAGTTGCATAGAAAAGGCGTTTGTTGAAGAGATTTTAATGAAAATTAACCTAAGGATACCATGGATGATGGAAAATCAATTAGAACCAAGGTTCCTCAAGATTTTATTTAACTCCGATAACCATTAATCGGGAAAAAAAAGGATTTTTTTCGGAATAATAAGGAAAATAAGAAATGAAAGGATTTATCAAGGTAAGAAATAAACACCCATTTTTAATTAAATAATTAGTATATCGGTAAAAATTAAAATCGAAAATTTTGTGGTTATCTTTTTAGTTTTAGTGATTTTTTATTTTTAATTAAATTTTAGTTGGTTGCATTGACAAATGAAGTTCATTGTCATTTATTAAATCTGTTGATATTTATTTGATTTTGTTGAATAGAAAGAACACTTGTTGAAGAGATTTTAATGGAAATTCACCTATAGAATATCAGGAATGCTGGAAAATCTATTAAAACTGAGGTTCGTCAAGATTTTTGTTAACTCCTGTATCTATTAATCGGAAGGAAAGGATTTTTGTTTCAAAATAACACGAAAAATGAGAAATAAAAGGACTTATGAAGGTAAGACTCATTTTCAATTAAAAAATTAATTTTTTTATTTAGTGATTTTTCATTTTAAATTAAACTTAAGTTGGTTGCATTGACAAATGAAGTTCAATGTCATTTATGAAATTAGCTGATATTAATTTATTTTTTATTAATTCTTAAATTTATTTGATTTTATTGAATAGAAAAGGCGTGTATGGAAGAGATTTTAATGGAAATTAATCTAAAGATGCCATGGATGCTGCAAAATCAATTAAAACTTTAGTTGAGATTTTTTTTAACTTCGATAAAAAATAACGTTCAATGTCATTTATTAAATCTGCTGGTATTTATTTGATTTTGTTGAATAGAAAAAACACGTATTGAAGAGATTTTAATGGAAATTCACCTATAGAATATCAGGAATGCTGGAAAATCTATTAAAACCGAGGTTTGTCAAGATTTTTGTTAACTCCTATATCTATTAATTGAAAGAAAAGGATTTCTGTTTAGGAATAACACGGAAAATAAGAAATAAAAGGATTTATGAAGGTAAGACTCATTTTCAATTAAAAAATTAATTAAAAGATTTTGAGGTAATTTTTTTTATATTTAGTGATTTTTCATTTTTAATTAAATTTAAGTTGGTTGCATTGACAAATGAAGTTCAATGTCATTTATGAAATTAGTTGATATTAATTTATTTTTTATTAATTCTTAAATTTATTTGATTTTATTGAATAGAAAAGGCGTGTATGGAGGAGATTTTAATGAAAATTAATCTAAAGATACCATGAATGCTGAAAAATCGATTAAAACGTTAGTTTTAACGTTCGTTGAGATTTTTTTTAACTTCAATAACCATTAATCGGACGAAAAGGATTTTTGTTTCGGAATAATGCGGAAAATAAAAAATATAAGGATTTATCAAGGTAAGAAATAAACACTCATTTTTAATTAAATAATTAACAAGTTAGTAAAAATTAAAATCGGAAATTTTGAGGTTATCTTTTTAGTTTTAGTGATTTTTTATTTTTAAATTAAATTTAAGTTGGTTGCATTGATAAATGAAGAACATCATTTATGAAATCAGCTGGTATTAACTTATTTTCTTATTAATTCTTAAATTTATTTTATTTAGTTGAATAGAAAAGGCGTTTGTTGAAGAGATTTAAATGAAAATTAACCTAAGGATACCATGGATGCTGGAAAATCAATTAAAACCGAGGTTCCTCAAGATTTTTTTTAACTCCCATAACCATTAATCGGAAAAAAAGGATTTTTGTTTTGGAATAATAAGGAAAATAGGAAATGAAAGGATTTATCAAGGTAAGAAATAAACACCCATTTTTAATTAAATAATTAGTAAATCGGGAAAAAATTAAAATCGAAAGTTTTGAGGTTATCTTTTTAGTTTTAGTGATTTTTTATTTTTAATTAAGTTTAAGTTGGTTGCATTGACAAATGAATTTCATTGTCATTTATTAAACCTGCTGATATTTATTTGATTTTGTTGAATAGAAAAAACACTTATTGAACAGATTTTAATGGAAATTCACCTATAGATATCAGGAATGCTGGAAAATCTATTAAAACCGAGGTTCGTCAAGATTTTTGTTAACTCCTATATCTATTAATTGGAAGAAAAGGATTTTTGTTTTGGAATAACAGGGAAAATAAGAAATAAAAGGACTTGTGAAGGTAAGACTCATTTTCAATTAAAAAATTAATTAAAATCGAAGATTTTGAGGTAATTTTTTTATAATTAGTGATTTTTCATTTTTAATTAAATTTAAGTTGGTTGCATTGACAAATGAAGTTCAATGTCATTTATGAAATCCAGCTGATATTAATTTATTTTTTATTAATTCTTAAATTTATTTGATTTTGTTGAATAGAAAAGGCGCTTATTGATGAGGTTTGAATGGAAATTAACCTAAGGTTACCATGGATACTGAACAGTCAATTACAACCAAGGTTCATCAAGATTTTTTTTTAACTCCAGTAACAATTAATCAGAAGAAAATGGTTTTTGTTTATTTGTTTATATCTAATTAGGAATAAAAGGATATATCAAGGTAAGAAATAAACATACATTCACAATTAATTAAAGTGCTATTTCGTTTTGAGAGTTGCAGAAAAATTAATTTTTAATTTAATTTAATTTTTTTTAAATTTAGTCTTCTATTAGCAATATTTTGTCTTATATTGACAGTATTTAGTCTTTTATAAGCAATGGCTCCTATAAATAAGCATTTGGTATTCCATTAACAATACCTAGTGTTTTTGCAATAGTTTCCAGATTTCTGCCAACAGCGCCTAATGTTCTGCAAGCATAAAATTATATTTTGAAAGCAATTTTTAATCTTATATTAGTAAAATCTTATCTTGCATTGCACATATTTAGTCCTTTACATGTATCAGCTTCTACATAAGAGAACATTTACAGTCTATTAACAGTATCTAGTGTCTTGCCAATAGTTTCTAGACTTCTGCCAGCAGTAATTAATCTTCTGCAAATAGTAAATAGTCCTCCACAAGCAGTTTTTAGTCTTCTATTATCAATATTTTGCTTTCCATTGACAGTATTTAGTCTTTTATAAGCAATAAATTCATAGAGAGCATCTGGTATTCCATTAACAATATCTAGTGTTCTAGCAGCAGTTTCAAGATTTCTAACAACAGCGCTTAGTTCCCGTGCGGTTATTCTAAACATTTCGAAAAAATTTTATTAGAAATATCGCTTCAGAATAATGTATCCTACAACCGTATAATGCTCTGATGCGGAAGATACGGGACACTTGTATATATAGGGTGTCTAAACAAGACCAGTCATTAGACTTTTCTGAGGTTCTGGCTAAAATAAAAATTTGAGAACTCAGACTTAAGTATTATCAATTGTGTTCTCTTTAACAAAAATATTTTCAAATTTGTAGCACTTACAATTATATCGGAAGTCGCTACCAACTTTATTTTTTTAAATGGAACATCCTTTATATTTCTACTTTTTGCGATTTGATTCGGCCGTTCTTGAGTTATTCGATTTTTCTAAAAAAATGTGCTCTAGCAGACATTTGTTCAAAAAATCAGAGAACACTCGATTTTTGATATATCAATTTAGGATTCAGAACATGCTTAAACAACATGATGGAGTATGTTTTGGTGCCGAGAACTGCTGTCTAGCAAGTTTAGTCACTTTACTATGGCACGTTAACTTTTCGAATTTTGGAAGTACCATAACTTCATTTTTTTAAATGGCATCCCCGATATTTTATAACTTAGTCCTATACCTAATATTAATAGTTTAGGAAATAATTAGGGTTTTTTGAAAAATGCACACATATCATATCGTTATTAACCTAGTGTGCCATGGAAAAGCAGTATTTGATACATTGAAGAAAAAGTCAGTAGAGGGGGAAAAAACCAATGTGGCATTTGGTGATGGAACATGGAAGAAGAGGGACTTTAATTCATTAATTATTTGGAATCCCAACCAGATGGTTGGATTTGATTAAAAAATAATTATCCTATCAATGTTAGTCTTTTCTGTGTAATGTTATCGCTTGATTTATTATTTATTCCTGATTAACTAATTTTAATGCAAATTATAGGCAACTAAAAATACGATTAGGCAACTTTGGTTGCAACACATTTAATTTTGATTATAAACTTTTAATCTTAATAATTAAAATTTTAAATATTGTAATAAGAAGATTAAGTTAAAACCATTTAAAATATATTTTGTAATGTTTAAAATTTGATTTTGTCTAGACAAAATTTTATTAATTAATAATTTTTCTCTTTGGTTAATGAAATTATTAATAATAATATAGACCTCGATAATTCTTCATGAATATATCGACATTAGGATCTAAAAAAATGGGTTACTTTTCGTTTTTGTGTCCAAATTTATGCATACATATCATTAGATAAAAATAAACTTGTAATTATTATATTTTGACTATAAAAATAAATAAAAAAAGAAAATACAAGTTTGTTGGTGTTTTAATAAAATAATTAAAATTTTTGGATCGACCTGTACACGTTTTCATTTAGTAAAGTTTCAAACCACCAAATTTAAGATATAGCGCCATCTATCTTTCAATTCTCAAACTATATTTTGAGATTTAATTGGTTCGAAACTGCGCTAAGGAAAAAAACTATACCGGGTGATCCTAATAAAAATTGTAGTTCGCATTGAAATTTTCTCGAAATTAATTTATTTTTGAATCACCCGGTATAATTTTTTCTTAGCCGAGTTTCGAACCATCAGTTATTTCAGTAAAATCGCCATCTATCGTTCAAATACCGAACTAATCGGAATAATTTTGAAATTGAGGTTGGTTCGAAACTCGGCTAGGAAAAAAAACTATACCGGGTGATTCAAATAAAAATTGTATTTGAAATAAAATGTTCGCAAAATTAAATGTTTTTTTGAATCACCCGGTATAAATTTTTCCTTAGCCGAGTTTCGAACCATCGGTAATTTAAAAAATATCGCCATCTATCGTTCAATTACCGAACTAGTCGGGATGATTTTGAAATTGAGGTTGGTTCGAAACTCGACTATGGGAAAAACTATACCGGGTGATTCAAATAAAAATTGTAATTGAAATAAAATGTACCCAAAATTAAATGTTTTTTTGAATCACCCGGTATAATTCTTTCCTTAGCCAAGTTTCGAACCATCCGTAATTTAAAAAATATCGCCATCTATCGTTCAATTACCGAACTAATCGGAATAATTTTGAAATTGAGGTTGGTTCGAAACTCGGCTAAGGAAAAAATTATACCGGGTGATTCAAATAAAGAATGAAATTGAAATAAAATTATCGCAAAATTAATTTTTTTTTTGAATCACCCGGTATAATTTTTTCCTTAGCCGAGTTTCGAACCATCAGTAATTTAAAAAATATCGCCATCTATCGTTCAATTACCGAACTAATCGGAATTATTATGAAATTGAGATTGGTTCGAAACTCGGCTAAGGAAAAAACTATACCGGGTGATTCAAGTAAAAATTGTAATTGAATCAAAATTTTCGTAAAATGAAATGTTTTTTTGAATCACCCGGTATAATTTTTTCTTAGCCGAGTTTCGAACCATCAGCAATTTAAATAATATCGCCATCTATCGTTCAATTACCGAACTAATCGGAATAATTTTGAAATTGAGGTTGGTTCGAAACTCGGCTAAGGAAAAATTATACCGGGTGATTCAAATAAAAATTGTAATTGAAATAAAATTTTCGCAAAATGAAATGGTTTTTTAAATCACCCGGTATAATTTTTTCTTAGCCGAGTTTCAAACCCTCAATAATTGAAATAAGATCGCCATCTATTATTCAATTACCGAACTAATCGGAATTATATTTTTACTTAGTTTAGTTTCAAACCCGGAATTCCGGGAATTCAAATAAAATGAAGTTAATTAGAAGAATTGTGATAAAGGTGTTGGATTGAATGATATGTAAATAAAAGAAACAGTTTATATTTCAAATAAAATTTATTGTCCTTAAAAATGAGCTCCTAATTACAACCATGTCAAAGGTAGTATCATAAAGTTGTTACCATAATCAAGCCAAGCTCAAGAAATAGTGTATGTAAAGAATTTCTTTAAAATATTTTAATTTCCAATCCTAATAAAATCCCTAAAATTAGAAATATTGGCTATTAATCTAGTTATATTAAAGTACACCGCCATAACTTTAATTTAATAAATACAACAATTTAAGAAAACTAAATAGCACTTTAATTAAATGTGAGTGTATGTTTATTTCTTACCTTACCTATTCCTAATTAGATATAAACAAAAACCATTTTCTTCTGATTAATTGTTATTGACTTTTCAGCATCCATGGTATCCTTAGGTTAATTTTCATTCAAATCTCATCAATAAGCGCCTTTTCTATTCAACAAAATCAAATAAATTTAAGAATTAATAAAACAATGATGACGAACTTCATATGTCAATGCAACCAACTTAAATTTAATTAAAAATCACTAAAATTAAAAAGATAACCTAAAAATTATCGATTTTAATTTTTACCAATTATTTAATTAAAAACGAGTGTTTATTTCTTACCTTGATAAATCCTTTTATTTCGTATTTTCCGTATTATTCCGAAACAAGAATGCTTCTGATTATTGGTTATCGAAGTTAAAAATAGATCTCAACAAAGGTTGGTTTTAATTGATTTTTCATCATCCACGGAATCGTCAGGTTAATTTCCATTCAAATCTCTTCAATACACGCCTTTTCTATTCAATAAAATCAAATAAATTTAAGAATTATTAAAAAATAAATTAATATCAGCTGATATCATAAATGATATTGAACGTCATTTGTCAATGCAACCAACTTAAATTTAATTAAAAATGAAAAATCACTAAATAAAAAAATTACCTCAAAATCTTCGACTTTAATTAATTTTTTAATTGAAAATGCGTCTTACCTTCATAAATCCTTTTATTTCTTATTTTCCGTGTTATTCCGAAACAAAAATCCTTTTCTTCCGATTAATAGATACAGGAGTTAACAAAAATCTTGAGGAACCTCGGTTTTAATAGATTTTCCAGCATTTCTGATATTTTATAGGTGAATTTTCATTAAAATCTCTTCAATAAGTGGTTTTTCTATTCAACAAAATCAAATAAATACCAGCAGATTTAATAAACGACAATGAACTTCATTTGTCAATGCAACCAACTTAAATTTAATTAAGAATAAAAAATCACTAAAATGATAACCTCAAAATTTTCGATTTTAATTTTTACCGATTTACTAATTATTTAATTAAAAATGGGTGTTTATTTCTTACCTTGATAAATCCTTTCATTCCTTATTTTCCTTATTATTCCGAAAAAAAAATCCTTTTTTTCCCGATTAATGGTTATTGGAGTTAAAAAAAATCTTGAGGAACCTCGGTTTTAATTGATTTTCCAGCATCCATGGTATCCTTAGGTTAATTTTCATTAAAATCTCTTCAACAAACGCCTTTTCTATTCAACTAAATAAAATAAATTTAAGAATTAATAAGAAAATAAATTAATACCAGTTGATTTCATAAATGACATTGAACTTCATTTGTCAATGCAACCAACTTAAATTTAATTTAAAAATAAAAAATCACTAAAACTAAAAAGATAACCTCAAAATTTCCGATTTTAATTTCTACTAATTTATTAATTATTTAATTAAAAATGAGTGTTTATTTCTTACCTTGATAAATCCTTATATTTTTTATTTTCCGTATTATTCCAAAATAAAAACCCTTTTCGTCCAATTAATGGTTATCGAAGTTAAAAAAAATCTCAACTAACGTTTTAATTGATTTTTCAGCATCCATGGCATCTTTAGATTAATTTCCATTAAAATCTCTTCCATACACGCCTTTTCTATTCAATAAAATCAAATAAATTTAAGAATTAATAAAAAATAAATTAATATCAGCTAATTTCATAAATGACATTGAACTTCATTTGTCAATGCAACCAACTTAAATTTAATTTAAAATAAAAAATCACTGAATTTAAAATTTCTATTTAAAAAAATTTTAAATTAAAAAAATTAGTAATAAATATTTGTACATTACCATAACAAATTAAATGGATTAAATTATTCACCCAAGAACATCAACGTTATTTCAAATCGTTTCAATAAACTTGTTAACCTTTAATTATATTCACTCAATTTTATTTCGAATTCGACTCAAAAATTAAGAACCAATTAAAATCGTTTCCTTCGATGGTTGTATTTACGAGGTTTTCAAGAAGATTATCGAAATGATTTTTATATCTTTAGTTACTTCGAATTTTCCGTAATATTCCAAGACGATATTTTTACGTAAATTGATCCGGGGAGTAAAAATCCTTCTTAAATAACTTCTCCAATGTAAACGGAGTTCGCTTCGGCGGGGACAGCATCTTTTGCGATCCCAATCTTCGCTTTTTATCGATTTAATTAGGATTATTATTACGATTGTTGAGATTAAATCCATTTTTAGGTTAAAAACTAATTTGACATAAAGCGATGTGGCGCCATCTTTTTTCTAAGGCACTAAGGTTAGTGGTAAATTAAATTTATTTAAATTTATAATAAAAACAAGAATTTATAATATACATACACAGCTTTAAGTTTGTTATTAATGAATTAATTAATTAATTGGCACTCGGTATGATACTTTTTCTCTCACATAAATTGAATCGATGTAGATGTCGCGTTACAGTAGTATTTAAAAAAACCAATAGATGGCAACATTTTTTGAAATGAAACCCAATTTTTATGAAGATAATTCGGAGGTAATAAAATACAAATTTTTTTGTTTGAAGACGGCTTTATTTTTGTAAACATTTATAAATTCCTTGATATATTTTAACAGATACACGTCGTATTTATCTCTCTACTTAAGGATATACACTGTCAATAAATTAGATCAGGTAAAACATTTATCAAAATACAGTTTATAGTTTTAGCAGCTTACAGAATTTGTCATCGAAAAGTGTACAAGGAATCACATTAAAACATTTTTTTTCATAGATTTCTTTTTGTATATGTAATATGTATATAGACATTTCTGGTTTTGTGCAAATACCCTGAACAAAAGGAGGGATTGGGATAACAACATTCACATTTTTGTTGATAAGCTAAGAGTATTTAGTATTTAATATTTACAAAGTAGTTTTAATTAGAAAGAAATATGAATTAGAAAAAACGGAAAAAAGTTTAAGATACCGTACGAATTTAAGCGTTTATTCCGACCACGACCACCAATGTTTCCGCTTCCGGTACGGAATAAACGTTTAGTCCGTTCAACTTTACTTGGTCGCTTCCTATACATAAAATAATAAACATATTTTATCCACTTCCTATTTATTAATAATCTTATTTTCGCCTATTTTTTAATCTAAAACAACCACGATGTTGAAGTGAGCGGTCAAAATAATTTGACTTGATTTATTTAAAATAAAATTAAATTCTAAGAATAAATGTGGAAATTCAAGGAAGAATTAGTTAATATTTTGATTCGAACCAGGTATTAAAGTTAAAATCGTGAAAGGAATTTAGAAATAAAAAATTAATCTAATAATAAAGAGGTACCATCACAGTTTTGAGGAATGCAACGATTCACATAATTGTTAATCTTATTTCTAAAAATAAATTGAGGTTACGATAATCAAACACGAAAGGGACACAACATTTTTTTTTGCTTTTAATTATAACCCTTTAAATTTCATAATTCCTGAATTTGTTAACAACATCGCTTGCATCTCCACCCCAACCTGAAACACCTTTCCCCCCATAATGTAGGTTAGCCCCCCCTTCAGAAGCTCGTCGATGAGCTGCGCTAACTCCCCCAGCTCCTAAACTAGATGGTCCAGATCCCCCAGTTTCCGGAAGCATCCTATCCTTAGTTTTGGGAGTCGACCAATGCATGGACTAAAATTTAAATCATTAAAATAAAGCTTCTAACAGAAAAGAAAATAATTACTTGATGAACGTGTTCTTTCATCCCCAACCATTGTTTGTAACTAATTGAGATTCCGCTTCCTCTCCATTTATCATAATTATTCCTTCTTTCGGGATCGCATAAAACTTCCTTGGCTTCCTAAAAAAGGAAATAAAATAAAATTCAATAAATCTCTCAAAACTTTTTATTTTTCATGTATTCTTTTGTATGTAATTTCCATACAAAAAGAAAACGTAGTAAAACAGAAGTATCAAATATCAAACGCGAGAAAAACAGATGTAAATTTAATATGACAGGCTCGAAGATTACGCATTCGAATCGCGTTTAACGACGAAAAATTGAAAAAGGAAAGGACCCGATACTCTGAATACAAATTTGTTTGGTGTCTTTTTTTAAAAAATTAATTCAATATTTTTCTATTTACAACATTACAAGGTTTTGGAACACAAATCGAAATCAAAATTTTCAAAGAAGTTAAACATAAAGAATGTATAAAAGGATACATTCAGATAAAATATATCTGCTTTTATTAGAATAATTAATAAAACGATTCATACTGCAATTTAAAGCTTAATTTTGATAGCATACTATTCAGAGGGAAATTAAAATTTCAAGTTAGCAAAAAATTTTATTAACAATCACTGTTCCTGAAGTAATTTAAAAAAAATTTTGTTAACAACATTTTTTGATTAAATCAACAATAAGGATATAACCTCAAAAATATTAGTTTTTGTAGCATCCTATTCAGTGGGAAATTAAAATTTCAAGTTAAAAAAAAATTATGTTAACAAAAATTGTACCTGAAACAATTCTAAACAAACTCTATCAACATTTTTTTTTGATTTAATCAATAATTAAGGAGATAACCTCAAAATAATAATTTTAAAATTTTTATACATAATTACACTTAGATGCTTAATTAATAGAGATGTAAAAATTTTTTATTAAGATAATTGATTCAAAATCGAAATTGAAACAAATTTTATTTAAAACATTTTTTGATAAAAACAATAATTATTGAGATAATTAATTTTGATAGCATACTATTCAGAGGGAAATTAAAATTCCAAGTTAGCAAAAAATTGTATTAACAAATACTGTTCCTTAAGTAATTCTAAAGAAATTTTGTTAACAACATTTTTTGATTAAATCAACAATAAGGATATAACCTCAAAAATATTAATTTTTGTAGCATACTGCTCAGTGGGAAATTAAAATTCAATAATTCAATATTAAAAATAATTATATAAAATTAATTCAATATTTTTCTATTTACAACTTTACAAGGTTTTGGAACACAAAACGAAATCAAAATTTTCAAAGAAGTTAAATATACATAAAGAATGTATCCAAGGAAAAGTAGAATGATTGTTAAATTGAAAAAATCATATCTGCTTTTATTAGAATAATTAATAAAACGATTCGTACTACAATTTAAAGCTAAAAATGTCTTCTTTAAAAAATTGGGATGGCCATTTGAAAAAACGTTGCCCCCGAAAATGTACGCCACTGTAAAAAAAATTTAGACATAGGAAAAGACGAGAAATTTATTGTAGTCTTTGACACCTGAAAAGATTCTTTCAAAAAGAAACTCGTTTTGAAGATATTTCAGGTGTTCCTGAATAATGGGAAAATGTATATACAGTAATACCCCGTAGTTACGCGATAGGTGGGACTGACAGTAGTCGCGTAAATCGAAAATCGTGTAAGTCGAAATTCGATGAATACATATTATAAAATCAAGGATTAATAAACATTAATTTTGTTAAAAAAATGTATGTACAGNTCAGGAAATGTGGGAGAGGGTGGAAAGGTTTAAAGTGGGAGAAGCGGTAGAGTCGGATCACCAACCGTTGGAGGTGGAGATAAAGGGGGTGGGCGGTAGAAGGCGAGCAAGTTCATCAGGACAAACTGGTCGGAAGAAGGGGTAGCATTCTACAGGAGAAACCTCGACACATGGCAACAGAAGATACAAGAGATCAATGGTTGGGAAGAACTTATTCAGGTAGTGCGGGAGGCAACACTGAAAAGGGAGTGTGTACGTAAGGGGGGGCAGAGTAGGGAGGAACGACTGGTATGATGGCGAGTGCAGGAAGGCGAAGAGGGAGGCGAGAAGAAGGTTGAGGCAGTGGAGACGGGGGAAGATAGGGGTGGATAGATATAGGGAGGCCAGGAGAGGATACAGAGAGTTATGCAGTAGAAAGAAAACAGAACTGAGGGAGAAGGAGGCGGCAGAGATTAGAAGGATAACAAGGGAAGGGGAGGTCTGGAGGTATCTGAAAAAGAGAAAGAAGGGTAGGGAGAGGATAACCAGCGAAATACACATGACAGATTGGAAGAGTTACTTTATGGGATTATTGGGAGGGGTTGAAACGAGGCTAACGGGTTTGGGAGGCTATGAGGGAGATGGGGGAGAGGAGATAGCAGAAGAGGAGATGGAAGCAGTGCTTAGGGGATTGAAGAAGGGAAAGGCGCCAGGGGAAGATGGGATCCAGAACGAGGCATGGTTGGAAGCATCAAGGGTGGTGAGAGTGAAGTTGTTGGAGGGGATGAATAGCGTATGGAGAGGGGGTGGGATTCCGGAGGGATGGAAAGTGGGGGTAATTTGCCCAGTATATAAAAAGGGTAATAAGGGAAGGGTAGAGAGCTACAGAGGAATTAACCTACTAGACTCGGCATACAAGGTATACACGAAGATACTGCTGGGAAGACTGGAGGAGGAGATGGAGTTGGGGGGAATTTTGCCGGATGGGCAGGCAGGCTTTCGGAAGGGAAGGGGAGCAATCGACAACGTGTATGTGTTGAAGCATTTGGCAGATAGAGAGCTGGATAAGAAGGGAGGGAAATTGTACGCCCTGTTTATAGATTTGAAGGCGGCTTTTGATAAGGTGGATAGGGGGAAGTTGTGGGAGGAGATGGGGAGGAGGGGGATAACGGAACACCTAATTGCGAGAGTGAAGGAAATATACATGGAGACGATGGCTAGGATAAAAGTGGGAGATAAGCTGAGCGACGTGTTCTGGACGACGAAGGGACTGAGGCAGGGATGTCCGCTGAGCCCAAGTCTGTTTGCACTGTATACGGCGGACCTGGAGGAAAGATTGGGGAAGGGGCAGATGGGAGGATTGGTGGTGGGAGGTAGAAAGGTGCATATGTTAGCATACGCGGATGACATCGTGGTCATGGCGAGAGAAGCGGTGGAGATGAAGGAGATGATAAAGACATTGGAAAGATATTTTAGGGGGAAGGGGCTGGAAGTGAATGTGGGGAAGACAAGGATGATGAAGTTTTGTAAGGGTGGGAGAAAAAGAACAGAAAACTGGAGATGGGAGGGAAAGGAGATCGAGGAGGTTAGGGAGTATACTTACTTGGGGTATGTGTTTAGGGAGGATAACAGGGAGGGGTCGCATGTGATAGCTATGGCAAAAAAGGCGAATAAGGTGATGGGACAAGTATGGGGTTGGGGGAAGAGAGTCTTTGGAAGGAATGTGGCAGCGAGGAAGATTATGTTTGAAGGTCTGGTTAGCAGTGTGATGATGTATGGAGCAGAGGTATGGGGATGGAGAGAGCAGGCAATGCTGGAGGACGTGCAAGCTAGATACTGGAGATGGGTGCTTGGGGTGGCGAGAGAAACACCGGGGTATATAGTGAGGGAAGAGGTAAAGGTGGATAAAGTCAGAGTGGAGGGGGGCAGGAGAGCAGTGAAATATGAAGAAAGAATAGAAGGGAGGCCAAACTGCGGGATCTTGGGGGAGTGTTGGAGGGAAATTAGAGAGGGAAAGATCAGATATGGGAAAGGAGACAGAGACAACTATTATAGACGAGCGGGCTACTCGGTAACTGAGATAAATAGTAGACGAAGGGTGGGTAGGGAGATGTGGAGGGAGTTGAGAGATAGGGACCGAGATGTGCAGAGACAGGAAAGAAGGACACAAATAAAAGAGGGGAGGTATAACGAAAGGTACAGGGACATAATTACGGAGGGGCTGCCTAGATACTTGTTATTGGAAGGAGATGAGGAAGGGAAGAAGTTGGTGGCTAGGTTCCGTTGTGGAAACGAGGAGAGAGCTAACAGATACTGGATGGCCGATGAGGAGAGGTGGTGTAGGCTATGCAGGGAGGAATGAGAAACGTTGGAACATTGTTGAATGGGTGCAGTGAGTTGACGGAGGAGGAGTTGGCAGATCTTAGGAGAGGGGGGAGAGGGGAAACGATGGATGAGAATGGTTGTGGGGATAAGGAGACAAAGGGGATGATTGGGCCGAGGAGCCGAGGGTATGGAAATGGAGGAAGAGGGTAGAGGGTGAAAATAATATACTAATAATATATATTAGAATGTATTAAGGGGATAAAAATTGTAAATATTAAAAACAATAAAATGCTTATTATTATTATAAATTTTGGAGGAAAACGGCTTTGAAGTAATTGTTGCAAAAATAGTGTTGCAAACTAAATTTCAATTACAAGAAAATTATATCGACTTTAATCACAATTAAACCTTTAAACGGAGAAACGGAATATTGGGACCATTTTTTTTAATGAAAATCTCACAGCCGCTAGATATTTGCTATTTTTACAGGAAGATGTGGTTCCAACACTAATAGCGATATACTCAGATGCAGATCAAATGGTTTCAGCAGGACGGCGCATCGCCTCATTATGCCCTTTCCGTTCGAACGTATTTGGATGATATTTTTCCACAAAAATGGCAAAAACCAGACATAATTGATAGAGTGCAAGTTGAATTTATTTTTAGGTTAGGGCATTGTCAAATAGTAAATGGAGAACAGTTTGAGCATCTTATTCATTGACATTTTCTGTTTTCTTTTGCAAAATTTTTTTCGCAAAATTTTTCTTATTTAACCTAATGCAAAATTTGCTCTAACATACTCAAAAAAATGTATTCTTTCACATTATCGAATAAAAAATTGTTGCATAAAAAATGTTACCCCCTTTGACATCGAAAACGTACGCCACTGTAAAAAAAAAATTTAGATATAGGAAAAGACGACAAATTTATTGTAGTCTTTGACACCTGGAAGGATTCTTTCAAAAAGAAACTCGTTTTGAAAATATTTCAGGTGTTCCAGACCTTTTATTGACCCTGTATATGGGAAAATGTATAAAGAAGTGGAGTT